TTTTCTTCATAAGTCTTTACACATTCATCCTATTGCTCTTGGGATAATTTCATAGAAAGGTAATTGTTGGATAAATAATTACATACTTTATACCATGATACATATCACCATAACCCTTCCCTCTGGAAAGGCCAAAGTATTTCACACACCTACCATTTGGGCCTTTCTACCAGTCTTAGAAAGTCTTTTTAAGTGCAAGGTCTTGAGTTCAATCCCAGGTACAAAAGAAAAAAACAAAAGAAAGTCTTCTTCCTCTTCCTCACTGGCTTAGGCCCCTCCCACATAGACTATGGAAGGACAGGAGCACAGTGCTTAGGTACAAGAGTTAATACCAACAGTTTCCTTCATCACATCTCTCTCCTGGCTTATGCTGCTTAAACTTCAAAGCACTTCTTAAGATTTCTCCCCATTCCCATTCACTCTTCACTCTGACATCCTTTTTCTAATGAGCTACAATAAATCTGACTCATAGTTCAAATTACCTGAAGTCGTTACAATTGCAAGAAAAAAAAACAGGGTATAAAGAACTCAAACTGCCTTAAATTATTCCTGAAGGAAAATTGGGGAAAGGTAAGGAACAAGAATAAAGTCACTATCTTAGCCTGTCATGTAAAGAAAACTGACAGGGATAAATTTCCCTTTGGGCCTACCATGTAATTTTTAATTTTTATGTACAAATATTTTCCTAGGAGGTATTGCATTTTTTTCTTTCTTTCTTTTCTTTTGATCTCACTCTGTAGTCCAGCCTGGCCTCAAAATTCCACCAATCCCCCTCTCAGTTTCCTAACTGCTGGGACTACAAGCCACGCCAGCACCTGTGACTGAGGTTGTATTTTGAAGATCTTTCTTTACTATTATGCACAATGTACTGCAGACTTTGGGGAGGCAAAGATGAAGATTCTTGACTATAGAGAGCTTGCATTCCAGCAAGGGAGATATTAGGAGAAACCTAGTAGTAGAACCTAATGAAAGTCTCAAAATATCAGAGAGTGAGGAGACAATCTTGGAGAGACTAGCTCACATGAAGGACAAAAGTATAAAGAAGAAAATATGTGTTATTTGGCTTCCACATTCCTTTCCACACTTACTGAGCAAAGGAGCTTGCATAGTGGCCTCAGGAGATAGAACATTCTATAAAAATTTTAAGTGAGGACTGAGCTTCTAGGATCCTAGGGTAGGAATTTTGCACTCTGAGCCTGGGATTTCCTGCCACTGCTAATACTGGGAATATTTTGGTTAGCCTAAAAGGCTCTTAGTTCTAAGAGACTGATCTGGATGGAAAAAGACTCATGGTGGATTTATTTGTATCACTGTAGATGGATAAGAAAGAATGGAGAGAAGAATCTTTAGGAATTTACCCCTCATTTCTGGGTACTGAAATCCTAGCAGGGAAACTTGTCTGAAATTTAAAACCAGCTATGAATAGTCCAGAAAAGAAACTTTTCCTTGACACTAAGATCTCTCCCTTCTTTAATCAGAAGATCCCTCTCGTGGCTGTTGCAGCACTGCGGGATATGATGGGATAGGTTATAGGTATCAATAACCTGGCCTGGCTGCTCCAGATCGTCTAAATTTCCATTTGTCAAAATCAAGAATGACAGGAAAGGAAGGAATACAAATATGAATATGTTATTCTGTAATATACAATGATATTACATATAATAGGAGTCTCCTATCCTCAGGCCATAAACTGGCATGATCCATGCTCTGTTAAGAACCAGGCCACAAAGAAAGTGAGAAACAGGCAAGCAAGAGAAGTTTCATCTGTATTTACAGCTGCACCCCATCACTTGCATTTCACTTGAGCTTCTCCATCAGATCAACTCCAGCATCAGATTCTCTAACGAGCATGTGCACTACACATGTGAGGGATCTAGGGCGCATGTTCCTTATGAGAATCTAATGTCTGATGATCTGAAGTGGAGCTGACGCAGTGATGCTCGCCCTGGGGAGAAGCTGCAAATACAGATTAGTATTAGCAGAGAGGTTTGGCTGCACAGAAACCATAATAAATCAGCTGCTCACAGACTCATATCAAAACCCTGTCAGTGAGTGGCAAGTGACAATTAAGCTGTATCTTGTGTCAGGCTTTTTAGTGGCAAGTGAGTTATAGTTCAATTGTACAGCTGCATCTGGTAGCAGACTTTAAATCAGAATCTGTCAGATACTTTAGTCTGTGTGTAGTGTACCCATTACTTTACTTACCACTTCCATCTGTACCTCTTTCCCAAACTTCATACTTGTCTCAGTCACAGTTTTGGTACACCCCAAACATTACCTGAACTTAAAAACATTTTGCAGGATGTGATTAAAACTATCAATTACATTAAAGTTGTTTACAAAGGTCTGTAAGGAGACACATACAGAGTACATGTCTTCTTTCATACATGGAAGTGAGAGGTTTTCTAAAGGTAAACTGTTAGCCAGGTTTTTTTGAGATAAGACACTCCAGAGATTTTGTTTTTTTTAAAGAAAATATCATGACCGGCAGCACATTCCAGTGACACTGAATGAGCTGCAAAACTTACTCATATGACATATTTAACCTGCTCAGTGAACTCAATTTGTTACTTCAAGGGAAATGACGAATGTGTTCGAATCAGCACATAAAGTTCATACATTCAAAGCCAAACTCAATTATAAGGGCAACAAATGAATGTTGAGTTTTTTTTTTTAACATGTTTCAAACATTAGCAAAGTTTTTGAAAGAGAACAAGCCAGGGCCTTGTCCCAGCAAGCACATGTTCACCTATCTCAGCCTTCAAAGGAGTTTGAACCACAAAAGATTCTTGAACTGGAAAGAAATGTATACACAACCCATCTGTGAATAAGCCAGTGGAATCAACTTTGTCCATGCTTGAGAATCAACTGCTTGAGATTGCAAATAATAATGACCTTAAAAGTATGTTTGAGACAACTTCAACTCTCCATACATTATGGATTAAAGTCAAGACAGAATATCCTGAGACTGTCACAAAGCACTGAAAAGCCTGCTTCTGTTTCCAACATTCTACCTTTGTAAAGCATTTTCTGCAGTGACAACAACCAAAACAAGATTACAGAGTAGACTGGACATAAGCAGCACATATCAGGTGCCACTATCTCTCCTTGCTTCCAGATGAGACCCTCTAGGTGCAAGAAAAACATCTCAGGCTCCCATTGATACTGCAGTATGGTGAGTTGTATAATTATTTCATTACTTACTACAATGTAATAAAAAAAGAAATAAAGCACATAATAAATGTAATGAGCTTGAATTATCCCAAAACCAAATTCCACAAAACCAGTCCCTGGTGCCAAAAAGGTTGAGGACTGCTAATATATTTTATATTGTGTGTGTGTGTGTGTGTGTGTGTGTGTGTGTATACACCCTCATATATATGGTTTTGGGATGAGGGGTTCTCTACCTTACCTCTCCTCGGATCCTCTGCATTATTACTTGGAGTGCACAACAAAATCTAATAATTTTGTTTCTTGTCAAAAAAGGAAAGAGAAAAAATAACTTAATTAGTAAATACAGTTTGGACTGCAGCCTAGATCTTAAGAGATGTAATTTGGCTCTCTTTTCACCAGGCTACAAACTCATACTGACCTTCATTCTTCCAAGGGACTAATTCAAAATGCTTCCTACATCACCTTCTCCTTATACATTTATCACTAAATCCTCCCTACTCATCCACTAACACTAAAATACCGAGATCCATCTAACAACCTTGTTCCTTTCTAAAACTAACTTTGTCTTCGTGCACACATTCATACTTGCCCTATCTCACTTGAACTTTGCACAGATTTCTATGGATTAAATATTTCTGTTCTGTTTTTGTTTTTTGGTACCTGGGATTGAACTCAGGTCCTCACAGATTTCTATGGGAAGACTGAAATGCTGTACACTGCAATGAGCATTAAACAACAACAAAAAAGAACCTAGTATTCATATTCACAGCACTTTAGGAGGCTGAGGCAGGAGGATGGCAAGTTTGAGCCCAACGTGGGCAATTTAGTGAGACTCTGTCTCAAAATAAAAACAAATATACACTTAATAAAGGTCTAGAGAGACAACAGTGTGAAGGCATTAGGTTCAATCCCAGGTACCCCCTTGTCCCCCAAAGAAGTTCATGTTCAAATGTACATTCTGCCTCTTTTCATCTACTGGACTTTGGTCATATTTGTTGACTTTTTTAGCTTCACTTTTCCTGTCTCCAAAGGGAATAATTCTTAACTCGTTGGATTTTTTAAAAGGCAGCTAGTGTATTCAAGGCGCTTAACACAATATCAACATACTAGAAACAAGCTTAATAAATGGTAGCTGTCACTATTAAAATACGTACATCAAAAGACTGTTCCTATGTCTCATGTGCCTGACACATAAGTAGCCCTTCCATATATATTTACTTTTCTTTCCTCATCCACGAAACAATTCCCAAGTTCTTTTCAACAAAGATTCAGAAGGTAACTTAAATCCAACAGATTCCCCTAATTCAGCTGCAAAAGTATTTGTACATTTAACTAAAATCTCAACACTCAGGGTAGCATCTATTTTAAACTACTCAGACATCACGTGTTCTCTTAAGTCATCAGAAAAGAATAATCCCTTAAATCATTCATTTGCAAGTTTCTCAAAAGAATGTCAACAGAATAGCTGTAGAGAAAGCAACTGAGTATTCAGGTTCATTTCAGAGTTATCACAGGTTTCACTGTCCGGTAGCCAGAGAAGTGTTTGTAACAACTAATTACACAACTTAAGTGGGAGAAAAAAAAATTGAGTCCAAGGCTCATAAATCTCAAGAAGTAACGACGCAGTGACTTGATTCAGGGGCCGGAGGAGTGAATAAATGTGTGTGTTCCTGAATGTGTCCTCGTGAGCGCCTGCGTAGGTCCACTGGACTGAAAACCATTCCTGTGAGCCGAGAACTCTGAGCGCGGGTATGTATCCCTTTAACCCGGGACGCAGCGAGTGGGCGACTGCGCGAGCCCTCGTGGGTCCGAGCTCCCGACCTTACCTCTGCGGACGAGCAGGTGGACGCTTCTGGGCGCCGCCATATTGGTGCTAATCACGTGCCCCCGGGAGCGGTTCGGTAGCGGCCCCGCCCAAGACCCGAGGCGCTCCAGCCTCCGCTAGGAGCGCGCGTGCGCGTGGGGTCTAACTGCGGGAGCCGCGGC